TGCACTCTGACTTACCTCTATAATTGTTCAGTGGCTCACCAGCAGGCAAAGCAAAATAATATTGAGCATCTCTTCCATGGTACAAAGTACGTTTAGTTCCATTTCCTATCCAGTAACTAAATTCATAATGAAAGTCCTAAAATCCATTCCATAGGAGGAAAAAATAATATAGATGAACAAAGTGGGAATTACATCACCAATACATATGACATGAATACACCCTTCATGGTACTAGAGGACACGTTTTTACAAGCCAAATAATCACGAATGACCAAAGTGGTGTCCTGGTATTCCTGTAGGTCACCCTGTCACCTACAGACATTATGCTCTCCCGATGCCCTGTGTTGGCCCTGCACAAACTGCCACCTCTCCAAATGTGCCTCCTTCTCCTCCTGGGGTTGTTCTCTATGCCTCTCACTGTGGAGCAGAGGGCAGAGAAAGGATGGGGATCTGCATAGGCTTCCGCAACTTTCTGGCATAAACTTTAAGCCAAATCCCCTCCCAGATGGAGAAAGATAATGTTTCACATTTCTTCAGAACTTATCAAACGTGCTTTCAATCACCTCCACTGCCTTTGATCTTTCATGGTGGTGTGATTACCATTACGTACCGGTTCTCCTGACATGCAGAAAACACTGAAAATGGTCTGGGCTTCATGGCCTCGATGGGGCTGTACCTGACATGCTACATTCTGGGGGACTCTGTTGACCGTTAAGTAGAGCTGAGCTTTACCTAGAAAGATGTGTTTTGAAGCTAAAGAGAAAGATTAAATGAATAGTACACTCTTAATAAGGTATTATAGTACCACAGGATTATATTTTAATGGCACAACATTAAAGGGGCAGGGGGCCAGTAGATTAGTTTCCTTAAAATAAACAATAATATATCTCAAAGCTGACAACAAAATCCAGCAGACAAGGAAGTGTTATCTTTAAAATGCTGAAAACAAACAACTGCCAGCCTTCAAGTCTACATTGAGGTCAAGAAAAAACATTCCTTCAAAAATTAAGGCAAATTCAATGTGTTTTCAGACAAAAGACTCAGAGAAATTGTAATGGACAGATCTGAACTAAAAGAAATGATAGCTAAGGGCTATTTCTTGAAGACGAAGGTAACAAACTCAGTGTGAATCATGGTCATGCCAGAGGGAAAGAGAGCACTGGAAAGAATAAACGTGTTTGAAAATTTCAATGAACACCCACTGTACAAGCAATAATAACACTACGCTGTTTGGTTTAAAATATACATAGAAATTATGGGCACATTTGCAAGTATGGAATAAATTTATCCATACTTTATAATAAATTTATCTAGTTGCTCATCACAAATAAAATGTGTAATTTAAAAAAATTAGAATGAAAAAATGCAGCATGGCTCAGGTCTATCCACCAGGGGCTATGAGGAAAAGCAATTTACAGAGATTTGCTAGGCGCTTCTCCTACCCGCTAAAATAAATAAACAGTAATTAATAGCAAAAGGAGTGCTAGTAGTACCATGAGCTAAGAATTGAGATCCTAAGAGCCAATTCGGGGGTTCAAACCCACCAGTTGCATTGCAGAAGTAAAAGGAGGTTGTCTACTTCCATAAAGATTTACAATCTCTGAAACTCTGAAAAGCCATTCTACTCTGACGCGTGTGGTTGCCAAGAGTGAACATCGATGAAATAGCAGTGAATTTGGTTTGGAAGGAGCAGCAAAATGGTAGCCAGGGAGGGATGAGTCAGGAGCTTCAGAGGGTAAGAGCCGTTTCCAGAGGAAACTATGTGTGTGGTGTGAAAGATAGATGCTTTGTCTTCTCTGAATTGAGTCCGATGGGAAGTTTCACTTACCTGCAGATGCTTGTATGACATACGTCTTTCCACTTCTCAGTGAAAATGGCTTTATCGTCACAGTTCGTTTGACGACACCTACAGAAAAGGAGGTAGGCACAGGAAAGGAATGATAAATTGGACTCAGAGACAAGATGACTCAATAAAGAGATAAGGCAAGGTCTTTCATTCTAATTTTACCCATATTCTAAAGGTTTAGGTAAAATTTGGCACAAATTAAGTAAATCCGCTTTGAGCTGGGAGCTGCCTTTATTTCATTCATGAACAGATTTTTAAGAGCTCAGATTTTTAAAAGGTAATGGTTCATCTCTAGGCTTTCCCTTCTCAATAGGAGCCATCCTAAGAATGGCCTAGTTTTCTCTGGCTAGGAAATGGTACTAATTTCACAAGCAACAAGAGAATGTTTTTTAAATTTATAATCAAGTTGAATAGTCAAATAGCTTATTTTATTAAACTTAGCTTGTCCAAGAAATAGAATTAATTTATTTTAAAACCATTTTAAGACTTGCCTGGTGTTGATTATGAAAATATACTTAAATTTGAGTATAAACATTGACCTTATGGTAAGAGAATTACTTCCTCAGAAAGGAAAGACTGATCTTGGTCTATCTTCTCTACTTCCCTGAAAATAGGAAAGATCTGCATACAAGATTGGTTGTCTAAATAAAATCAATTTTTAACAACACAATTTTAAAACAGTGTATCCTGAGAAAACGTTGAGGACGAACCCATCTAATGACATTGTGAGGCCCGGAGCCCCATAGAGAAGTTTGCTGTTGTGCCACAATCACATGTGTTATTATGAAAGGGGTCGTTTAATAAGTTGCGGTTAGGAAACTGGGTTAAGGACCCAGCTAGCGTTCAGGAGCAGGCTTGTTCTGATCAATATAGAGCAATGATTCATATGCACTGCATGCGGTCAGAGCAGGGACGTGTGTCCACAAGGGTGCTGAGGCATGTGCAGCACAAGTTTATTCTCTTGAGTCTGCACAGGAAGGAGGGCTCTTCCGCTTTGCATTGGAGCTCCATTTCTGTCTACACACAAGCAGCTTCTGAAGGACAGAGGCGAATCTGCCTTTAGTAAAGCTAGTGCCTCCAACTCTATGCTGACGATAAACTCAAGCTGGAAAGGTGTGAAAGATACAACAAATAATCGTTAGAAACAATGATTTCAAATGCATGTATTTTTTTAATTAAGCTACAGAAGGAATTGAAGGACTAATGTGTAAACCACTATTTCTTCAACAGCTGCATTCTGCATTTCCAGTATGCAGAAAGGGCCCATACCTGTTGAAGTGTAGCCTTGGAAAATGGCCCGACTAATCAGGGACTTAGGCCAATCAATCATCAGTAAGGGTATAGCACTGCCCATGGAGTGAAATGGGTCAAGCAAGTTATCTCCATCCTCAGGGTTCTGGTCATCACTTTGACTTGGTTCTGATTCAGGAAAGTTCATATTAGTCCCTGAGAAGATAAATCAAGCCAGTGACTGAAAATGAGAAACACTGAGTAACAATCTTATTCTATTAATGATTTTACATGATATTAATATAATGCTTGTTCTTTGTGATTGGATACTTTCATGCAACATCATGTTCTCCAGGTCCACCCAGGCCAGGAGGTGCTTCATGGTTTCATCATTGCTTTTTAGTGATGTATAATATTCCACTGTGTGGACGTTCTGAAGTTTCCTCTCTTTTTTGAACCCCGTTCTTAGGAGCTAATCCAGACACCGTACCATTCCATAGTTCAATCACATCAAGCAGTGTTGTAAATTGCTACCACGATCCATTTCAAAACATTTTCTTCCTTCCCAAACTTTTTGATATCAGCTCTCCTTTACCCACCATCTCCCCACTCCCCCACCCTATCCCCCAGGAATGCTACTGTACGAAGTATCTTTATCCCTTTTTCTACTGATGGGCTTTAAGTTGCTTCCATCTTCCTGCTATTGTGAAGTGTTGTACTGAACATGGTGTGTAAATGTATGTGTGGAGACTCCTTAGTATATATACCCAGCAGAAGAAGATATATATCTTCTTTGGATACATACCCAGTACAGGGATTTCTAGGTCGTATGTAATTTCTATTCCCACTTGTTTGAGGTAGCTTGATATTGCTTTTCACAGTGGTTGTACATATTTACAGTCCCACCAGCAATAAATTCGGGTTCCAATCTCTTCACACTGTCTCCAGCATTTGTTATTTTCTGTTTTTTAGAACTTGGCTGTCATTATTGGTGCAAGGTGGTATTATCATTTTGATTTGCTTATCTCAAATGGATAGTGATCATGTTTGTTGACCATATGAATACCATCTTTGACTATTCGTGTCCATTGTCCGCTTTTTATTGGATTATTCATATTTTTTATTGAGGTGTTTTCTATAGAGATTTTAGAGATTGGTCCCTGTCTGTTGTGTTGTTGTCGAAAGTTCTTTCCACTTTGTGGGCATTTCTTTTACTCTTTTGATAAACTCTTTGATGTCCATATGTGCCTCATATTTAGTAGGTCCCAGTCATCTGTTTTGTCATCTACTGTGTGTCCCTTCATTATGTTTGATGGTGTCTATGCTTTGCAATAGGGCCCTTACCTTAAGGTTGTCCCTATTTTTTAATTTGTAATTTTTATACCTCTGTTTTTTACATTTAGGTCTTTGAGTCACCTTGAATTTGTTTTTCTACAAGGGGTGAGGTCTGGCTTCATCATAAAAGGAAAGGTAAAGAAGGGCCCCAAAGAGGATAGACTTTGAAATTGCCAAGTAGCAAAGGGCAAGGGAGGGAAGGTGAAGCACTGGGCGAGACTGTTGACAGATGTTGACTTGAGTGAAATGGATAACAAGAATCTACAAGAAGGAGAAGATAAAGCGAGGACTGTGTGAGGGATAAACTATTGGGGAGTTTTATTAGTAGATTAAACTTTTGACTACAAGTTGGTGATACAAATATAAACCTTCCCCTAATTTACAATAAAAATTCATGCTTTAAAAAAATGAGAATACCTATTTCTACGCTGGGTGTACACCAATAGATAAACATATAGGAATTACAAGAAAAGAGGAAAACAATCATGCAAAAGAGATGGCCAGGGAATCAGACCTCAAGAGAGGAAAATCACTAGTCAGTCACATTGAGAAGAATATGAAAGAGGAACTCTTGGCAGAAAATCTTTGAACCAAGTCATGGAAAAGGGAGTGTGCCTCACTTTGGGTCTGGGGTTTCTGTTGGGTTTGCAAAGCACATGGTGTAGCAAATGCAGAAGGAGGTGAGATAGGTTATAGGTTTGGGTCAGGTTGTGCCATGAACTCACTCAAATTCAAACTCACTGCCATTGAGTCAATGCTGATTCACAGTAACCCTATAGGTCAGGGTGGAACTGTCCCTGCAGGCATCTAAAACTGCAACTCTTTCACAGGAGTAGAAAGCCTTATCTTTATCCCACAGAGTGGCTGGTGATTTTGAACTGCTGGCCTTTCGGTTAGCAGCTCAACTCATACCCACCACACCATGAAGAGGAGTCAACAATTTTCCCTCTGAGTCTAGGGAGCTGCCAGTAAGCTTGATGAAAGTAAGTGGCATACGAAGTCTGGATTTCAAAACAGAGATATACGGGAATGGAGGAAGAACAGACATATGGCTAAGGAAAGAGGTAACATAAGAATCATATTTACCTGGTTGTCTTCCGCTTGAGGGTACTGCTTCTTGTATATCACCATAATAAGCTTCAAAATCTATGTGAAAGGATAAAAGAATGATATTTCACTTAAAAGAACAGAATCCACTGAAATTAATATTGGCTATCCTGATAAACTAAATCTTCATTGGCTGGCCTATTTCTAGAGTTTGTATTATTCTCCTCCGGATTACAAAATATCCTCCATGACAGTGTTTCACTTTGTCATCATGACCACTGGGGGAGCCAGGAATCATTCCCACACCTCCAGGACAGAATTAGTGCTTCAAGTGAGTGTTTAGTTTTCTAAAATAGCTCAGCTAGGGCATATACACTAAAGAAGTGAGACTCATAATATGAAGAGACATATGCACTTCCATGTTCATTACATCACTGTTCACAACAGCAAGGAGCTGGAAACAGAATAAATACCCATCAATAGCAGAATGGATAAAGAAACTTTGGTACAGCCATGCAATGGAATACTAAAAACAATGCTGAACCACCTTGTGACAAGGATGGACATGGAGAGCATGATGCTGAGTGAAGTTAGCCCATCACAAAAAGACAAAAGGGGGTGAAGGGAAAGGTCAGACAGTGTAAGACATGACAAAATAAAAATAATTTATTAATTATCAAGGGTTCATGAGAGGGTGGAGAGCAGGGAGGGAGAGGGAAAATGAGGAGCTGATATCAAGGGCTCAAGTAGAAAGCAAATGTTTTGAGAATGATGATGGCAACAAATGTACAAATGTGCTTGATACACAATGGATGTATGCTGGATTATGATAAGAGTTGTACGAGTCCCCAGTAAACTGATTTCTTTTAATTATTGGTGATTGGAATGGAAAAGTTGGAAACCAAGAGGAAACAATAGTAGTTGTAAAATATGATCTTGGTGATAGAAATTCATATGGAGATCACATGATAGAATTATGGGAGACTAATAAATTGTCCATAACATACACCCTTCCTTTTTTAAACATGAACAGTGACTATGCACATGGACTGCTCCACACGGATACATAGAAATCAAATAGACTACATCTGTGGGAAGAGATGATGGAGAAGCTCAATATTAATAATAAAAGCAGGCCGGGGGTTGACTGGAAAAGACAAACAGTTGTTCATACATAAGTTCAGGTTAAAGCTAAAGAAAATAAGAGCAAGCCCCCAAGAGCCAAAGTACAACCCGAGGCTACCCCAACCTGAATTTCACGGACACATTTGATATACTGACACTAATGAGAGAAGACCCAAGGAGCTGTGGTAGGAAGGACATCAAGAACATCACTTACGAAGGCAGCAAAGGGTCATGAAAAAGACAAGAAAGAAAGAAAAGAACAAAGTTGGTGTCAGAAAAAACCCTGAAACTTTCTCCGAATTGTTGAGTGGCTAAGGCAAAGGGAAGGCAAAAATGAAGTCAATGAGCTGAACTGAAAATTCCAAGTGGCAGCTTGGGGACACGAAGCCAAATAGTATAGTGAAACGTGCAAAGCCCTCGAGTTAGAAAACCAGAAAGGAAGAACATGCTCAGCAGATCTGAAACTTAACTCAAAAAAATAATTTAAGCCTTGAGTTGCAATATTGAAGGATTCTATGAGCAAAATATTGAACGATGCAGGAAGCATCAAAAGAAGATGTAAAGAACACAGAGTCGCTGTACCAAAAAGAACTAGTTGGCTTTCCAACATTGCAGGAACTAGCATATGAACAAGAACCAACAGTACCGAAGGACAAAGTTTAAGCTGCACTGAAACATTTGCCAAAAAGAAGGTTCTAGGAATTTCTATAATATCAATTGAAATGTTTCAACAAGCTGATCAAGCACTGGGGACACTAACTCCTCTATGCCAGGACATTTGAAAGACAGCTATTTGGCCAACTGATTGAAAGAGATCTATATTTGTACAGATTCCAAAGACAGGTGATCCAACAGAATGCTCTGACTATAGGACAAAGTCACTGATATCACATGCCAGTCAAATTTTTCTGAAGACCACCCAACAAAGGTTGCAGTTGTGCATCGACACGGAGCCATCAGGGGTTCAGGTCAGAGGATGTGAAACAAGGGATATAATGCCTGTCAGATGGATCTTGACCCAAAGCAGAGACCAATAGAACGATGCTTACTTGAGTTTTATTGACTATGCCAAAGGCATTCAACTGTGGGGCTCACAACAAGCTATGGATAACCTTGAGAAGAATGGGAATCTCAGAAACTTCATTGTGCTCCTGTGGAATTTATACATGGATCAAGAGATAGCTTTCTAAACAGAACAAGAGAATAATGATTTAAAATCAGGAAAGGTGTAGTAGGACTGTATTCTTTCACCATATTTATTCAATCTGTGTGCTGGATTATATGAAGGAGAATGAGGCATCAGGATTGGAGGAAGGCAATATGCAGATGACACAATCACCTATTGGTTGACTAGAAACACTCGTTTCTAGGCTGGGTTGCCTAGAGACACTCATATATGTATAAGAAAGAGCTTTATATCATGAAGTAATTATTTATGGAGAAAACATCTCAGCCCAGTCCAACTCAAGTCAATGACTCATGCAACAATGCAGAATGCAGGAATATCACAGGTTGGTGGATGCATAGTCATATGGATCCAATGGCAGTGGTCACATCTTCAGGGCTCTGGCAGCAACAAGGATCGGCCACCAGCAAGGTAAAGGCAGAGAGAAGGGGAGGTTCCCTGGACGCTCTTTATGAGAAGGCCACACCCACAAGGAGGCAACATCAGGCTGTGATCTGACTGACAGGTTGAATACCACCCCTACACTTTTATATATCTTCAAGTTGACATGAAATTATGTAACTACCACACCTGTTGCTGAAGATCAAGGGTCATAGCCTTCAGTATGGATTACACTTCAATGTAAAGAAGGCCCAAATCCTCACAACTGGACCAATTAATAACATTATGATAAATGGAGAAAAGGTTGGTGTTGTCAAGGATTTTGTCTTTCTGGGATTCATAATCAATGCTAATGGAAGCAACAATCAAGAGATCAAAGGGTGTATTGCATTAGGTAAACCTGCTGCACCAGACCTCTCTTTATCATATTGAAGAGCAAGTATTTCAAATTGCTTCATATGTGTGTGAAACTTGGACACTGAATAAGGAAGACTGAAGAAGGATCCATCCATTTAATTTGTAGTGTTAGATTAAAATGTAACATCTTATTCTTTGATTTTCCTTCTCTTCCATTTTAAAGTCGTTTCAGTGTTAATATTTTCTTTCTTTTTGATTGAGATTTTTCTATGTTTTGCTTTGTCATTTTTCTCCTTGCTGATTATATTCCATATGATTTTCTGCACATGAAATCTAGGGTCACAGTAGTATTGTAGGAAAATGGGGGTGAGTGTCTAACAATGAATGTGAGAAGGAAAAAAATGTTCTGAAATTGATTGTAGGGATACTTGTACAACTCCTTTTAATATGATTAGATTATTAAATTGTGTGATATGTGAATTATAGTCCAATAAAACTAATGAACACATAAATAAACATCAAAATCAAATATGCTAGCTATTAAGTAAGAGGACCATACACCGAACTGAACCCTTTTGACTCTAGGTTCAACATTCTCTCTTTTTTTTCACAATGCTTTTCAATGTTCTCTTAGAAAATACTTCTTATTCTCTTCATTTTTTTTTAGGTTTGTGGATTCTGTACTATACTTATTTATTATATTTGAGGTCATTTTATTGGGGACTTTTACAGCCCTTTTAACAATCCAGACATCAATTGTATCAAGCATCTTTGTACCTATGCTGCCATCATTATTCTCTAAATATTCACATACTTTTCTCTTCATTTTACAGAAGAGAAACAGAAGAGCATTCTGCTGCAAATGCCACATTTCTGTTCCTCAGTCCTCCTTCTCAAAGGCCGAGATGTCCAGAGAGCTCCTGCGCTCCATTTAACCCCAGCAGGGAGCCTCGACCATAATGGCCTTTAGAAGCCACACAGAACAAAGAAAGCACTGTTGCCTACGCTAGCAGAAAAATCTCATGAAGTCATTATGCTAGAGACAGCAAAGGGAAAAATAGCTCACTTCTTCTTCTTTTTTTTTTTACTTTTTTTTCCTAATCATTTTATTAGGGGCTCATACAACTCTTATCACAATCCATACATACATCAATTGTGTAAAGCGCATTTGTACATTCATTGCCTAACTCACTTTTTCTTACTGACAAATTTTCTCTAGCTTTTTAAGAAATAGCTTTGGCCCAACCCAAAACCAATGACCCATGATAAAATGAACCAACTGATTATTAGGGAAGTAGAGAGAGATGATTTATTCAACACTTACTATAGCTCGCGTATTATACAACATGGCACCAAAACATACTGTGGATACTATACATATGATATCACTTCATTCTCAGAACCCACTGTGGTGGACACCATTATTTTACAATTTTGGAAATGAGGAAACTGAGAATCAGACATACTAATCCTAGCAGGTGTGATACATGCTCTTCAATCTCATGCTTAACTTAAAAGGCCTGTGTTGATGTGGTTTCATACCTAAGCCACCACAATCATTCTTTCCAAAGGGAACTTTGATGCACAGACAAAAGAGATATCCTGGAAAGACAGTGGTTATTACCAGAGAGGTAGAAGGAGATGTTCTGTGGTAATGAACTTCCTGATGGCTGTTTGGTCTCCCAAGGGCTAGTAACTGGAGATCCTTCTTCCAAGAACTCTGCATCCTGGGACAGTTCTGCTTCTCCTATGTCATCTTCTTGTCCTGAAGCTTCAACAACAGCAGCAACAGCCTGGGGCCTATTGACCTTGGACGCCTGAGAGTGTCTCACCATGGCTGAAGAGGCCGATTGGCCAATTGTCATCTGTGGATGCTCCCAGGAGAATGGTCCAATTGTTACACCTGGATCTCTTGGGTTTGGCTTCACCAACTGTGGGTTTGACTTTGATAAATTCATAATGGTGCCCAATCTTGAAGAATCCAGCAGCTCCACTGCTCTACAAAAAGGAACTTAAATATTTAACAGAATTAATTATGGATAAAGAAATAATATTTGTTTTTTTCTCTTAACTTTATAAACTAGAGATTTCTAGCAAGATTTCTGACTAGGTAGACAAACCACCCAGACCCTCTACAGTAAAAATATAAGATAAAGTGAAATAGATGCAGATGATAATCCTTGGATCCTGGGCTTCAAAGGAAATGGTAAAGAATTAAATTTAATATTGTGTAGCAGAGCAAATGAAAAGAGCAAACAAGAAAATATGCAAAGCAGTGAATTATCAACCAGCCCAACACAAGATGGCCATTTTGAAATGTTCCAAGCAATGTTCAGATCTTCCATTTATTCCCCAGATCCT